CATGATTCTGTGGTTTGGTGTTTTTCCTGCCCTTACAGCTGGGGAACCGCTGAAACTGAATTTCCCGAGATAGGACACCAGGAGGAGCTCCAGGGTAGATAAATCTGGTTTATTTTATTTATCCCATAGCCTGGAGTGGTAGGATGTGGCTGCCTACCTCCCCCGGCTGCTGGTGGCCACCTCGGTCTATCCTGGAAACTTGGAAAGGCAGAGGGGCCTTTGGTGACATGGGAAAAACAAACAACTCCCACAGGCAGAGAGGTTTGTGGGGATCAGCTGGATCTGACCAACAGCCTGAATCTGGGATACCACCAGAGAGATCATCCAGTTCCTGGATGCTCAGCCACATGAACATCTGCTGTATTTTTATATATATTATAAAAAAATATATATTATAAAAATGTATTTCAGTTTTGGGCCCTTCACGACAAGAAAGACATTGAGGGGCTGGAGTGTGTTCAGGGAAGGGAACGGAGCTGGGGAAAGGGCTGGAGCACCAGGAGCAGCTGAGGGAGGTGGGGGGGTCTCAGCCTGGAGAAAAGGAGGCTCAGGGGGGACCTTCTCCCTCTCTGCAACTCCCTGACAGGAGGGGGGAGCCAGATGGGGGTTAGTCTTCTCCCAGGGAACAAGGTAACGCTTGTTATAATATTTATATAATATTATTTGCTATTATATTAAATTTACAGGCTTTGTTCTTACTGATGGGGAAAAAAACCTAAAAATTCCATAGTGGATGAAAATGATGATGGGGTGTGTGACATTTTAAAAGGAAAGCAAGGAGAGAATAGAATGGAGGTTGTAATTCTAAGAAACCTGGCTTGAGTAATATCAGGGGCTCAGTAGGGAAGATCCCATGGGAAGTGTGCAGCCTTTCTTGAGTGGCATCGTGCTCGTTTTGATATTAGAGATCACAGGTAAGAAAAGTAACAGTTCAGGGAATCCAACAAAAACAACCAAAGAGTTGGTCATGTGTGTTCCTTGTCACCTCCTTTCAAGTTGTGTCCCTAATAATTTCCCTGGTCTCGTCCCTTCTGCATGGGATGGAGAAGAGGAGCTACAGCTCTGGCCCTGACCCTTGTTTTGACCTGACATAAAGCCTGCCCATTGCTACCCTCATGCCTCACCCACCAACCAGCCAATCTGTCCTGCCATGGGCTTGGTCCAGCACCCAGGACTTCCCTGGCACCTTATTTTATATAATCCTAGAATGATTTATGTTGGAAAGGACCTTAAAGCTCATCTAGTCTAACTGTCCCTGTCCAATGGGCAGGGACACCTTCCACTATCCAAGCCCTGTCCAACCTGGCCTGGAACACTTCCAGGGATGGGGCAGCCACAGCTTCTCTGGGCAACTTTTGTCAGGACCTTGCCACCCTCACAGACAAGATTTTCTTCCTAATATCTAACCTAACCCTTCCCTCTGGCAGTGGGAAGCCTTTCTGCCTTGTCCTGTCCCTCCAAGCCCTTGTTGAAAGTCTCTCTTCAACTTTCTTGGAGCCCTTTTAAGCACTGGATGGGGCTCTAAGGTCTCCCTGGAGCCTTCTCCAGGCTGAACAACCCTAGATCTCCCACCCTGTCTCTATAGCAGAGGTGCTCCAGCCCTTAGAGCATCTTCATGGTCCTTGTCACATTGTACCTTAGTATTGTATTTCTCAAACCCTTAGTCCACCTCCTCTCTGCAGGGTTGTTGTTTCTAGAAATCAACCCTGCTATTTATCTCCGTGCTGCAGGACAGGTGAACACAGACTGCAGGGATTAGGAGTGAATTCCCCACACCAGCACCATCAGCATCATGTAAGCCCTGCCTCCCACTCATCCCACAGCTCTGACCAAAGCATGATGAAGGCTCAGGGGTTGACAGCTGAAAATGAGGTTTGTCCTTGACCTGTGGAGGGAGCCCAGAGGTGCCACTGGTCCCCTCTGAGGTCCCACAGCTCTAACACAGAGCTGTGGTCACTGTTGTGCTGGAGCAACATTCCCATGCAGAGGTTTCCACTGGTGGTACCTGTGGCACACCTGGCAGCCCCATTTCCCCTCAAATTTTGGTATTTTCCGTTCACATCTCTTGGCTCTGGTCTGCACTTGGCCATGAATCTTGCTGGTGTGATAAAGCCCTGTGAGCAAACCCTGCCCAGAGTAACTCCTGCATGGATGTGATCGGTCAGAGCTCTAAACCAGAAGGTGATCCTGTGGTGTCACACGTCAGAAGGGTAAAATCTGGGGTGGCCAGAGAGGCAGGAGCAAGCTGCTGGACGTACAAGCCCTGCCCTGTGCTGCAGCCACCTCACCCTGAAATATTCATTCAATCCTGACATCCAGAGCTTTCAGAGGCTGCAATCCCACCCCTTTGCTGCTGCAGGCTATGGAAGGTCCTCTGAGCAACCTGATCTGGTGAAAGATGTCCCTGCCCCTGGCAGAGGCTTGGAATGAGGTGAGCTTTAAGGTCCCTTCCAACCTAGACTATTCTGTGATTCTGTAGTCGAAGCCCAACCTGAAATGGGGCATTTCTTATGCCTGAAGTGCTGTGAAAACTTGAACCTGCATGTAACAAATCCTGCAGTGCAAACAGTGGGGTTTCCTTATAGTAACTCAAGAGTAGAAGAATTCTTTTAAGTGAAATTAAAATTTTATTGTTTATTTCCAAGTCCCAATCCCTGCTCCAAGGCTGCGATGTGTGGGAGCAAACAGCTTTTTGAGATAACTATATATTCCTAATTTAAGGAAAAAATTCTTCCCTGTGGGGTTGGTGAGGAGGCCCTGGCACAGGTTGCCCAGAGAAGTTGTGGCTGCCCCATCCCTGGAAGTCTTCCAGGGCAGGTTGGATGGGTCTTGAAGCAACCTGGGATAGTGGAAGGTGTCCCTGCCCAAGGCAGGAGGGTGGAACTAGATGTTCTATAAGGTCCCTTCCAACCCAGACCATTCTGTGATTCTATGAATACGAGTATTTTTCCTCCCTTTTAATGATTCATGTTCAGTGACCCCTTTCAATCAAATTTTCAGTGAACTTCAGTGAAAGACAAGTTCAATCATAGGAAATTTCGTGTCAAAGAGGGAATCCCTGCTGAATTTACAGGCTGCTGAAGGCACAAGTTGTAAGTGGAAAGTGGTGATGGGGGCTCATAACCCGGTGTTTGGCGTGACAACGTCATTGCTTCATCACAGGTAACAGTTTCCACTTAACCCTGTTCCTGCACAATCCAACCCATTTTTCATGGCAATGCCCTTTCCTTTCACGACGAGCATTCGGGGGAAAAAAAGGAGGTCAGATTCTGGGTTAAAAAAGGTGGATTTCTGGTAATTCTCCCCTCTTTTGGTCTTCGATGCTCAGTGTCAGATCTCAGTAGATGCGCTGGTGGATACATAGAACAGTCAGAATAGGAACATGTGTCACAGGATTTGTGTTACTTCAGGTAAACATAGTAACCTGAAATGTGAAAAACTTATGTGAGAAGAGTCTCCGGTCTCTGAGCTGAGAGTTGATTCAGACCACAAAATCATGACAACATCCTGCAGTGATGTAAAGCATCAGTTGATGGAGATTTCTGCTGGTATTATTCAGACCAGACTAGTCCCTTCTCACTGGAAAATTACACAGATTTGTAAGAGGATTCTGATTTTCTGTAGGACCAAAAATGTAATGAATCTGTTGATTTCCTGGAGGACTGAAAATGAATTGGGGTGAAGAGTCCTACACTTCAGTCCTCTGCTTCTAGCTGGGCTACATGGCTTTGGGAAACATTTCTCTCAGGGCTTTTCTCTGCAGAGACCTCTCAGATCATCGAGTTCAGCCTTTGACCAATTCCCACCTTGTCAACCACACCAGAGCACTGAGTGCCACGTCCAGTCTTTCCTTGAACACCTCCAGGGATGGGGACTCCACCACTTCCCTGGGAAGCCCATTCCAATGTCTAATTACCCTTTTTGAGAAGAAATTCTTGCTAACATACAACCTAAACTTCCCCTGGTATAGCTTGAGACTATGTCCTCTTGTCCTGTCACATATTGCCTGGGAGCAGAGCCTGACCCGCACCTGGCTACACTCTCCTGTCAGGGAGTTGCAGAGAGGAAGGTCCCCCCTGAGCCTCCTTTTCTCCAGGCTGAGCCCCTCTAGCTCCCTCAGCTGCTCCTGGTGCTCCAGCCCCCTCCTCAGCTCCATTCCCCACCATGAGTGTCCAAGGAGTCCATCCAGGAGAAATGCTGCTCCAAGGTCCACCCAGTTGGCAAGGCCAGAGAAGGGACAGGAAAGCAGCATTCTGACAGCATAGCTCAGGCAGGCACTGGAGTCAAAGCTGATCTGGAATGGGGGCCCTGCTGATGGTGGTTGAGGCCATCAGGGGTGATCAGTGCCCTCAGGGCCCTTACAGGGCCTTTCAAAGAGAGCAGAGCTTTTTGTGGAGCTCTCCAGAGCATGTCAACACAGAACCTCAGCAGTGAAAGGGAGAGACATCCCAGGTCCTGGTGCTCTGAGGTCTCCCAGGAGGAATTCCCTGTAGCTCCTATTCTTCCCCTGCTCCGTTCTTGCAAGACAGAGGGAACCCCAAGACCAGGTGGGGATGAATTGTGCAGCTGGGGCCAAGGGAGGTTAAATGGTGAAGTCCCACGTGCTGTCCTCATTTTGAAAGCCTTGCTGGGTGCCTGGCTTTGTAGCTTGCTCATCTCTGCCGTCTGGTTTGTGTGAGGCACGTGGAAGTGCATCCACACGTGTTTGTGGTGAAAGAACATCATTATTAGAAAGAGGGGGCGGGAGGCAGTAAAAAAGCTGCCTGAACAATTTTTTTTTTGCTCTTTTTCTTTCCTTATCTCTTTATCTGCCTGAAGAAATAGTATTGGCTAATTTGGGATTCTGGTGATAGTGTCTGCCCTCCCCTTTTTGGGGGTAGATGGAAGGAAGTGGGCTGGGAAATGAAATATTCAGCTCTTAACCTCAGGTCAGGTAAGGCAGATGTGCTGCAATGGAAAGGGTGGTAGTGGCTGAACTTTGCTATAAAAAGGAGATCACAACTGTCTTTGAGACACAAGCAGGTGGAAGGGGCCTCAGAGAAGGAGAACTCTCGTACCTTGTCACCCTGTGTATCCACCCAAAGCAGTAGAGAGGTTGCCATGGCTTTTTCCAGCTACACTGCTGTGGTAAGTACTTACATTTAATATAAGGGTTAAGAAATATTTTCTGCAAGAGAGAAAGCAGAGTACAGGTCCTGTGATTTCTACAAGAAACCCTTTTGGTCCTGGTGGGAGCTGAATGGGATGCTGATTCCGTCTGATGCAGCTGTGTTTGATGTTTGAGTAACAAGGATATGGTGGACTATTTATGATTTATTTATCTCTTAGTTATCAGCACTTGGGGGAGACAGTCCTTTTCTCAGATAACATGCTATAAAAATTGCTGAAATTTCAGTGAATGTCTATGAATTTCAATTTCAACCTGGGTAGCATTTGCAGCACAATCAGCTCCTGTGATTTCCTTAAAACCTCTTCATTTATTTTGTCTTCTTTTTGGGAGTTGGATTTGATGATCCTTGTGGGTCCCTTCCAACTCAGGATATTCTATGACTCTGTGAGTCACTAAAGCTCTCTCTACTGGAGATGGCCTGAGAATCTCAGATTTCCTCGGGAAAAGGGTTATTTCCAGCAGATGAGGGTGGCCAGTCTTTACTGTCCTGAGAAATTGGATTTCTTGCTGGATTTCTAAGGCACAAGGTCAGCTCAGTCCTTACCCTCCTTTGTAGATCACAAGACAGTGCTGTGTGACTGTGGAGGAGGACCTTTTGCAGCTTGTTTGAGGGATGCTCTTCTTGGTGCAAAGCCAACTATGAATCAGAATTTAAATCAGATTTAAGCGCCTGTTCTGATGAGTTTTATTTGCGGTGTTGTGCTGTTTGTTCATGCTGGCCCGTCTCACCCAAATATAAGTATGAAGATAGTCCATTGATGGTCCAGTCAAGTCAAGACTTGGCTTTTTCTGCTCTCCTTTTCTTGCCTGGACAGAACTAAGACAACTTTCCTCTCTCTCAGTTCAGATCACTGGTTTTGGTGCTGGTTCTAGCACTCACTGTAAGTTCCAGAAAGGCCAGTGCCTCTGTGAGGCTGAGTGAAGATTGCCTGAACCAAAAGGATCTCAAATTCCCCACAGCAGTGGAAGTCAACATTCGTATCAGCAAGTCACATCATGCCTTTAGGATGGTCCATGATGTCAGGAACCGATCTCTCGCTCCTTGGGATTACAGGTAAACTGTTTACTTGTTATCTAAATTGTGATGTCTGTGTACAAAGAGGATTTTTTTGGGGGTAAACGATGGCTGTTTCTCAGCATATGCCCAGAGTCCTGTAAATATTGCAAACACTTCTTGACATATGCTGATTTTTGATATTGTGTGAGATTTCTCCGAGACCAACTGAAGTGCAAAGGGACTTCACTGGAAAGGTTTCTAATCATCTTGTCAGCCTGTGTCAATCACAGAACCCTTTAGGTTGGAAAATACCTCTAAGATCATCAAGTCCAACCATTCCCCCAGCACTGCCAGAGCCACCACTAAACCATGTCCCCAAGTATCACATCTATACAGCTTTTAAACCCCTTCAGGGATGGTGATTCCACAACTGCTCTGGGCAGCTGTGCCAGGGCTGGTCAACCCTTTTGGGGAGGAAATTTTTCCTTATATCCAATCTAAACCGCTCCTGGCATCACTTGAGGCCTTTTCCTCTTGTCACGTGTTCCTTGGGAGCAGAGCCCGATCTCTGCCTGTGGCTCCACCCTCCTGTCAGAGAGTCAGAGAGATAGAGAAGGTCCCCCCTGAGCATCCTTTTCTCCAGGCTGAGCCCCCACCAGCTCCCTCAGCCGCTCCTGGTGCTCCAGATCCTTCCCCAGCTCTGCTCCCTTCCCTGGACATGCTCCAGCCCCTCAGTGTCTCTCTTGTTTGAGGGGCCCAGAGCTGCTCCCAGCACTGGAGGTGCCCCAGCAGTGCAAGCACAGGGATGGGCAGTGCCCTGGCCCTGCTGCCACACTATTGCTGATACAGCTCAGGTGCCACTGGCCTTCTTGGCCATCTGGGCACACCTGGCTCATGTTCAGCCACTGTCAGCCAGCACCCTCATGTCCTTTTCCAGCTTTCCAGCCAATCTGCCTCTAGCCCATAGCACTGCATGGCATTGAAATGATGATGAAACTCTGGGAAAAGAATGATGTCAGTCCATTGTAATTCTAAATTTTCCAAACTGAAAGAAGTTTCTGAATTCTGAAATTAAAATTATTTAAAAAACCATTAAAAAATGAATTGTGCAATTGCAATCAGTTCTGTATTTAACTCAGCTCCTCTCCATTCCCAATTCCCAAAGAATGATACAGCAGTATTACCCTACCAAAACTGATTCCATTTCTAGGAAATAATTCTAAAAAATGTTGAGGACAGGGAAGTTATTTGCCCAGGTGAGGATGCACAGGTGAACAGTAAGGTGCTTCCATGGAGATAAACAAGAAGATCCTGCCAACCCGTGCTGTGCAAAGACATAAATCCCTTTCTGTGTGCCCGTCCCCAGGCTTGACAAGGATCCCAACCGCTTCCCCCAAGTGATTGCTGATGCCCAGTGCCGCCTCTCTGGCTGTGTGAGCCCCCTGGGGCAGGAGGACCACAGCCTCAACTCCGTCCCCATCAAGCAGGAGATCCTGGTCCTGCGGCGGGAGCAGCAGGGCTGCCGGCCCACCTACCGCCTGGAGAAGAAGGTCATCACCGTGGGCTGCACCTGCGTCACTCCAGTCATCCACCACCACTCCTAGGAGGAATTATTAGGGCAGGCCACACTGGGAAGAAGCAATAAATCCTATAGACACCCCTCTGGTGAAATCCCACAGTTGCCCACCGCGAATCCCAGGAATTCAACACGACGTTGCCCTTCCAAATCTGAACAAATTACCTCTTGAAATTACCTCATGATTCAGCTGTTGTTGCTTGATGGATTTTAGAATGGGAATCGCCGGTAGCTGGTGATGGAGGGGAGGGAGAAGGATGGAGAAAAAGCTTTGTTTGTGACCCCAAGCAGTGAGAGGGTAAAGCAGTGCTTTTTTGAATTTATTTTTCATTGTAGTTTTTATCAGTTTGGTGAGTCAAAGCAGTTATATTTTCAAAAGTTGTCCTTGGCAGTAAGTTGCCCTAATGAATACATACCTACCAGCACTGCCATAAAAAATTCCTCCTCTTGCACCTTCTCCTTCCCTTACTCATCCCCTACCCCTTTCCCTTCTCTGGCCACCTCTGCTCACTAAAATATTATCTGTGTCAATCAAATATTTATAATTCTATTTATGTCTTCTATTTATGACTGTATTTATGGCTTTGTGTGTGCTCAGAGTACAAAAAAAAAAGGATAATTTTAACCTGTATTTATTCAATAACTTATCTGCTGAATAAAAAATCATATTTTATTTAAAAAAAATTGTTTTGTGCTAGCTCAAAATGAAAGCAGACACAGAGAATGGGTTTGTGCTGCAGTAGCACCAAGAGATTTCAGCAAAGATCAGGCATCTTCCGGTACAGTGATAAGAGTAAGAGTGAGCAGAAGAGAATTTGCGGCCCAAATAGATGAAAAGATGCAAAAAAAGAGGCTGAAAGGAGTAAAGGGAGGTTCTATAGGCAACACTGGGGGAGATGGCAATGGAGCCAGGTTCTCCAGACCTTGGGGATGGTCTCTGGGGATGGTGGGAAATGAGATGGGAGATATCACATTGCAAGGCTGCAGCTGGAATTTGGGAACCTGGTTCATGAGAACTGTGAAAGGCCTGTCCTGTCATCTTCCAGACAAGAAGTCATCCTGACAAGCACCCTTCTCCACCAGCTGGATGGCTGGCTGAGCAGGAATGCAAGGAAATACAAGATGGCTTCATCTTGCTGATCTTTAGCCAGCTAAATAATAGGTGCTGGGATTGATGTGGTGGAAGAGGATCCCTCCCCATCAAGGGAATGAGGAATTTTACCTGCAGGGCAGGACTGTCTGCTGAGCTGGGATGTCCTACTTTAGGAAAGGAAGAATTGCCCTTTCTCTCCCTTAGCTGCACAAGGAGCAGAGACTGAAAGGACTCACTGTTCAGGAGCTGGACTCGATGCTCCTTATGTGTCCTTTCCAACTCAGGATATTCTGTGATTCTATAACTATTTATTATTTTATCAAATTGCTGCAATGTTGCTTTTTTTTGACATTACTTCATCTTTTACCCAGAGCCGAGCCAGACTCTCAGACCTCTGACTTTGATTTCTGTTGGTGGAGGCTTTAAGCTTCTATTTCCTTTTCCCCCTGCATTTAAATCAGGGCAAACCTGTGTGAATGCATTCTCATATTTCATTTTGACTGCACAGAAACCACTTAAAATTAGATCCTCCCCAGAGTAGGTCAGGTGAGTTGTTGGGTCTAAACAACTCAAGGCCAGGTTGGACTCGACCTAGAGCAAGCTGGTCAAGTGGAAAGTTTCCCTGCCCAGGGCAAGGGGGTTTGGAACTAGATCTTTAAGGTCTCTTCTAACCCAAACCATTCTGTGATTCTGTGATTCTATGATTCTGTGATGATTCCTTTGGTGCTTTTCTGCCGAATCAGGTGTATTCTCTGCCCTGTGGGTCGCTGGGAGCTGGTTCGACAGTCCATTACAGTCTCACTCAGTTACAGGCATTTGTACTCATTTGAGGCAGCAGCTGTTTCGTTATGACCACCAAACTCACCATGCAGTGCAGAGCAAACCCCTGGAGGCGTTTTCTGCTCACTCTCGTGTATCACCAGCTCTGCTCTTACAGTAACCACTGACCAGGAAATCGTAACCTGGTTCTTGTTCCTGACCTATTTCTTTCCCTCTCAATAAACACACCTCGTGGGGTTGTCCTCACTTGTTTTTCAGAGAGAAAACTACTCACTGTCTCTCAGTCATAATTGCTTTGACATTGCATGTCAAGGTTCATGGCAGCTGAATGGGTGTACTCTCCTGTGCTGATACTCCTAAATATCCATCACCTTACCCTAAGAGTCATCCTACCTGGATGAATGATGAAGTATCTAATCAAGAAAATACACAAGTAGCTAATTAAGGAAGTCTCACCTGTGGGTCATGAGGTTTTGCAGCCAGAGCTACCAGCTGCAAACCACACACCTCTCAGGGAGGCATGTGGGGACTGTTTCTAAACAGAACGAGCATCGGCGGCTGTTTCCTTCTAATGGCATCATTCTTAGAGTGCAGCTGGTTGTAAACATGAGCCTGGTTATATTTAAGGTGCTGGCTTTCATTTCCAGCAATCTATTAATTTGAGGGTTGGAACTAGAACGATCTTTGAGGTGCCTTCCAACCCAAACCATTCTGTGATTCTGTGAATCTGAGAACACGGCAAATGAGTTTGTGCTTCTTGTAAACAGCACAGTCATATCACCACCGAGAGCAAGCACAGTTCACAGCTGAGGACCAGCCTTTGCTGAAGACTCTGCTTGTTTTATAACACTTCAGCAACAGATCCAGCCCCTGGCTGTCCAGTTGGGCATCTGTGGCTCTCAGTGTGGCTTAGAGCAGCCTTCAGGGACTTGGCTGTTTCACCAGGAGGAGAAGACACATCTGTAGATGTAATAGCAGTGCCACAGTGTTTTCTTGTAACCTGCTGGGCTAAGCAACCTCCAGTCACAGGTTGATATCTGAGCCTCGTGGCCTTTCCTATCCCTTTCCTCTTCTGCTTTCCTCTCACTAATCTCCTTTCCATGTCTCTTGCTCACTGCTCCCCTTGCTGTGCCTGTTCTGGCAGCTCAGGCAGGGATCCTGGTGTAACAACTCCCATGGGATGCTGGTGCAGAGACCCCTGTATTAGCATGGGGGGCACAGCAGTGATCTCTGCTCAGGTAGATGCCTCCTCCCTGACTTGTGCTGTGACCTGTAGATGTATGAACCTGAAAGTGTGAGTCAGGCTTCTTTGGACCCCTGACCACAGGGGTGTTCAGAGGGACTATGGACCAGGGCAGCCTGTTACACAGAAAATATTGCTTTTTAAAGTGTACAAAATTAAATATATAAAGAATGCAAAGGTTGCAATCCTAGACATTGAAACAACCCAAGAATTATTTTTGTTTGTGTTTGGTAAACCAGAAAAAAAGATTAATGGCTGGAAAACCCATCAGTCGACATAGTTTGTTCACAGTTAGACCCTACAGAAGAAAATTTAAGGACATAAGCAATTTTCTGGTCAGTCCTGTGGCAATCTGTTGGTTGGTGCCAACATGATGGGTATAGATGATGGGATGAATTTCTGTATCAGCTGCAAGTTCTGGAGATGGCCCAAGACACCAGACCAGAAACCTGCTCCCATGTCACCATCAGGGGGTAAAACATGAGACTTGTTTTGATCTTCTCTGTGAGGGTGGTGAGACCCTGGCCTAGATTGTCCAGAGAAGCTGTGGCTGCCCTATCCCTGGAAGTGTCCAAGGCCAGGCTGGATTGTGCTTGGAGCAACCTGGGCTAGTGGAAGGTGTCCCTGCCCATGGCAGGGGGTTGGAATAAGTGATCTTTAAGGTTCCTTCCTATCCAAACCATTCTGTAATTCCACAGTCTCCTTTTGTCTCCACCCCCTTCTTCCTCTTCTTTGATATTATTTTTAACTTTGTGCTTTAGAAGAATCAGGATGAGTGGGCTGAGCCTGCATTTTCTACAACACTGTTACATGACAGTGACAAAGAAAACCCAAACTTGCTTAAAATGTCTGTGATTGTCTGGCACTACTTGGCAGAGTCAGAGCCATTGGTGGGGGCAGGACTGTGCTGGTGCTGGTTTTCAGGAGCTGAGAAGATGCCAGTCAGATTCAGCACCAGAAACAGACTATACCTTCTGCCATTTGGTGCTCACAAAGAGGAGTTCCAGGAGCTGGACTTTGATGCAACTTGTGGATCCCTTCCAGCTCAAGATATTCTATGACTAAAAACATTTTCCATCTTTTCTAATTATTCTCCCTTCTTCCAGGGCTAGATAGTGGTAGCAGGTTCAAATCCTCAGGTCCTCAGAGAAATCCCTTCCTGCTTTCTATGTAACTTTCTAGTTATTTATTATTCCTTCAGAAAAGTGGCTCAGCTTTTCCACCTTTTCTTGTAACTTCATCATCATCATCATCATGGCTAGGCTTCATGAACGAAGATTTGGGAAGGGCTCTACTCACATTTGTTGCAAGCGCGTTGGTGGCTAAAAAGGTCAATACGAGATAGACGTGTCCGGTTGCAAAAGGCACAGTAGAAAGACTCCTTAGGTGGTGTATTCTGCAAGGCACGGTTCTTTCTGCGTTGTCTTTTCTCCTCAAGGGTGATCCTGCGTGTGTTCTCAAAGGCATCAGCAGCGTTATAGATGGTGTGTCTCCAGACCTCCCAACCGGAGGCCAGAGTAGACCAGTTATGTTGATCGATATGGCCAAGGCTGAGATGTTGTTTCTGAAACCTGTGTTCCTTGGCCTCCTTACTGTTGAATCTGTATCACCTTTTACTAGCATCTGGTTTCTATCCAGATTGCTTTGATGAGTGGCAACGATGAGCCTGGTTTTCTGATCACGTGCTGCACAAATCCAATCTCAAACTGCCCTTTCTGATGGGTTTTGCTCACAGGTTGCCAAGCAATCTGTTTGCCAAGACACTGCTGCTCAGGTTTTGCAGACTGACACAAAACTGAAACGGGGAGCAGTGGAAACTTTTATGTTGAAGAGGCTTTTGCAGCAATTTCCCCCCCCTTCCTCCAATGATGATATCATTTAAGGGCATCAAATTAGCAGAAATTTGCACCGCAACTCTTGAAAACAATAAGGAACAAGCTTTACCTGTTGAACCTCAAACTGATAAGAGCTGTGCAAGGGTGAGAGAGGAGCCCTACTCTCCTCAGTCTCCTCTTGTGATCACTATTGATGGTAATCATGAATGTTTGCCCAGAAAA